ACTAGTGAGGATGACAACATTTAATCCTTTAGTCGACTAATGACACATATGCATAGAAAAAAAATTTTTAAAGCCCGTGACAACGATTCAACTTTTGAGGTTTATTAATTTTATCTAAGTGGGTGCAAAGGAATTTTTAGGCTTGTAACCTGCTTGAAGTTCAGGAGCTCATCTATAAGATGACTGTCAAATACTTTAAGGTGCAGTTCCTTAACCAAGTATGTGTATTCTTCCACAGATCCTGCAGAACATGGTCGGGACCGCCCTCATCATCCTGGTGGCTATCGGCTTCAAAACCAAGCTAGCAGCGTTGACCCTGGTCGTGTGGCTCCTGGCCATCAACGTCTACTTCAACGCTTTCTGGACCATCCCGGCCTACAAGCCCATGCACGACTTCCTCAAGTACGACTTCTTCCAGACCACCTCGGTCATCGGGGGTCTGCTGTTGGTGGTGGCGCTTGGACCTGGCGGAGTGTCCATGGATGAGAAAAAGAAAGAGTGGTAGGAAAATGGGTGGTTAAGACGAGAGGATTGCACAGCACCACTAACTTCTCCCACTGACCGGGACACAAAGACCCTCCCTCTGCTCCAGTTACCCTCACAAGGGTACTGTTTTTTGTTTTCTAGATTTTTTTTTTAATTATTATTCGGCCAAATCCACAGACACCACCACAACCATCTTTTGGACAATTATTTTTCTAGTTTCATCCAAACTTTTGGTTTTTAGTTGTACTTATAGAATGCCAGGATTTTTCTAAACTCGTCTTCTGTGTCCTCTCTCGTGTATTTCAAAGGTAAATAACTAATGGATAAGTGGAAGAAAAGATTGATTTGTTCTATGTCCAGAAGAAATGGAAAGCTGAACACAAATAAGTTCTTGTGTTATATGGTTGTAATGACATAAGTTATAATAGATTCATGTTCATATTTTCTCAATAAAACTGAAAAATCTGAAGGAGTGCAGCAGTTTGGGTTCCCCCGATGGATGCTAAGCTGTTTTTGTCTTTGGATCTTGGAGTCATATCAATCCAGAGCACTTGGGCACTGATTTGACAGTAACTCGCATTGACTCTTCAGGTATCATTTCCCTTTGTTTTCTTTTCCTGCCATTCAGTATATCTGTACACCTTCAATCTCAACTGACACTGAGGGGGGGGCCGTGTACATTATGTACAAAGTGGTGGAATGCAGTCGTGCTTGATTGAAAATTTCAACACATTTGTTAGCTCCAGGACTTGTTATTAGGCACTGTACGGCAAATGCCTAACTAGTGAACTGTATATGATCGGGGAAAATAGGGGGGAGGCTCGACGTTTGTGAAACACCATATTCTGCAATCTAGAAAAGCAAAAAAGGACTAAGCAGAGTCACTAGCCACCTGGACTTGGTCTTTGCTCAGTGTTTTTTTTTGCCATGTGTAAGAAAATAAAAAGATATTCAGTGTATTGATTTTCAGAAGTTTATATTGTATTTTTGATCATTTGTTTTTTGATTTTGGAAGTTCATGGCGAAGAAATAAACATGCAAAAACAAAGTCACTGTCTGGGTCAGGATTTTTAGCTAATTGTTTAGCTTAATGGGGCAGATCCAAGCGACAACCTTTGGTGTTGAAAAATGAAGCCAATGCTGAAGTACAAAATACTGCAGTTCATTGGGTGTCCACTTGAGGCAGGCTGCAAAAGCCCCAGAAGTTACATACACCCATTTAAAAAAAAAAAAAAGCTGTTCTACAGCACAAATGAACATGATTACAGCTTGGTTTAAAACAAAAAAAACACGCTCTGCTTGTTACTAGGATGACTGAGAGTTAGTACGTGGCCACACTTCCACTCAGCCTAGTCTCCCCATACTGTGCCTATGCACAATTTCCCCCCTTCCCCCATAGGGCCCAAGCACGGTTACATCTGGTAAATGCTTCATAAGTTTTGGTCAGATACAGCCCTCTAACACTCCTGGAGTGCTTAAGCCCACATTTTCCAAAAGTGCCATGGCCAAGGACGTGTACGTGCTTAAGCAGGGTGCAGAGCACTTTAGGGGTCAATCGTGCTCGGGCACAATACAGATTGCGTAGTGTGAGTGTACCCTGAGGCAGTGTTTAAAATATGGTGACCGCCATCAATGGGCTTCAAAAGTTCCGCCAGACACCGATGGGTGACCTCACTGAGATTACGTCCATGTTAATATACATTTTGTCTATAGTCAGATCACATCATCAAATTAAGTTAAATCTCTGTAGCAGTTTTCTTCATTATAAAGGCTTTTGGAAGACTTTTTGGATATCACTGCTGGAAATGGTGATGAAAAATTCAGAATCAGTGTTTTGCAGTTTGGAATGAGCCGAGAATAACACCAACATCTTCTGCATCGAACTGAAAAATTAGGTATCGTATGAAAAGCTGTTAGGTTCACTGAGTTTGTTTTCAGGTCAAAAACTTTGAGGAAACACTGACCTCCAATGGATTTATGTGGTACAATTCCAGTGTCATGAAATATTGCATCATCTTCAGCGCCGGGGATACAACAAAACATGGAATGGAGCGTGCATAAGCAAAGGAGGATTGTTATCATTTGTTGAACTGCAGTGTGCTTTTGACTGCTGTCCTGTTGTTGAAGTAGTGTGTGTGTTTTTCCCAAAGAAACAGAATTGCTATATTAACCCCTGAATATTAAAACAAGGATTTCCAGAACTGTTAAAGGAGGCTGTTACTAGACTGAATTGACATAAAAATGATTAAAGGTTTTTTTTTGTGTGGGGAGAAAAATCTGCACAATGACGTACAGAAAAAAGGAAACCAACACATAATGAGGAACTTGACACACCTGTGAACAGAGCACCCCCATCTTTGTAGTTACACAGACAAAACGTGGAGATTTAATCTGCTTGGAGTATCACTGTCTTTCTAAAAGAAAACGTAATGTGAAAAACGTGTTTATGATCATGTTAGTTAGTGTTATTAACATGACAAGATAGTATTTACTTCACTTTTTACCTCTGGTACCTACTTCAGGTATCTAGGGTACAACAATCCCACTGGGAACACAAATACAATCCAATACTTTATTATCCCCCTGGGGAACTTGGCGTCATAGCACAGTTTACAGTTTTTTACGTGGATACATACATGAGTTAAAACATAATGCATAACAAAATGCACTGAGAAGTAATATCACTTTTTACCTCTGGTACCTACTTCAGGTATCTAGGGTACAACAATCCCACTGGGAACACAAATACAATCCAATACTTTATTATCCCCTTGGGGAACTTGGCGTCATAGCACAGTTTACAGTTTTTTACGTGGATACATGAGTTAAAACATAATGCATAACAAAATGCACTGAGAAGTAATATAAACTTAGTAATGAAATGAAAGTAAAGAACAAGCGAGGTCTTTTACCTGCTCTTATCTAAACTGTCCTGAGATAAATTTTGTTTTGAATTGGCAATAAACAAATAAAGATTTATTGATTGTGAAGCGTACATGATTGTAGCACAAAACAGTAAACTTAACAGTCAATGTGGCGGTTAGTTGAGCTCCAAAGCTGAGGGAACGCATTTCCTGGTCATGGACCTATATCTGTGACCTCATGGTAAAAATGCTTCATACGACATCAGCAGAGGTGGATACAACATATCACTTTAATGGCACAATTAACTAAAAGGGCCTATAGTTTTAAATTGAAGAATCATACACAGAATGTAAAAAAAAAAAGCAGAAGGATAGAAAAACTCATTGATATATAATTATTCCATTTTATGTGTTCCCCTCCCATCCCATTTTGAATCTGTTCATTCTGAGATGTAATTAGGACCATTCGTTGTCATTAACAGGCTGTTTGGAGATTTTCCCTTCATGACATCACAAAGGGCAGTAACCCCTCCCAAAGCTATGTGTTTGTTCTGCAGATAACGTAAACAATAGGGCATGCTGCAAGAAAGCCCAGACATCCAAGCCCATCCAGAGAGGGGTGTGGTCGAACACACAGCTCACATGCATTTAAAGCTACAGACACAGAAACGGTCTGTTTTGAGCAGGGCTGAAATAGAGGGGTTTATAGGAATGATCAAATACAGGAACAGAGTGGATTTTCAACAAGAAACTGAACTGATTGTTTTTTTTGGGGAGCTCTGAGGCTTCTTTAAACTGTACAGGAGAAGGATATGTAGGAGAATAATATGTGACCTTTAATCAAGCTGAATTCAGATCAGTTTTTTTTTCTTCAGACCTTTCCTAGAAATTATCCCTGAACCACTAAGATGTATCTTGTGACTGTACTGTTTATAAAGTAGTTTAAAAAAAGCTTCACTTCAGTCTATTAATAATTTGTGCATATAGAAACATATCAGTTACAAGAACAGAGAAGGGCACAAGCTGCATGCAGTATGGCAGCAGTGTAGAGGGAACGTTATCACTTTTTCTCTATCAGAAAATACCTCTAGAAAATCACCTTATCACGCTTTCTCCTCAAGAAGAATATCTGACAGGGCACCTCATCATATTCCCCAACAAGACAGGACAAGAAATGGCACCTTATCACATTTACTCCATCTGAATTGCATTTAAATATATCTTTTTTTTCTCCAGAAGGGTCCTCTAAAGCAGTGGTTGTCTAGTGAGAAATTGTGACCCAAGTTTCCGATATTTTTCAACCAATCAATTTGTTTTAATTAAAAATTGTGCAGTGTGGACCTCGGATGGTAAAAAATAAATGTGACTGAAGTAAGAAACTAAACAAAACGAAAACAAAATGACACAATATGACACTCACCGTAGTTTCATGGTTGTTGATGTCTTGATGAATGCAGATTTTATATTGAAGCAGACGAAGCAGACCTTCAGTTAGTGGAAAATCATCTAAATAAAATACATCTTACTTGTTTCATAGTGCAACCCTGGCGAATCTTTCATCATCTTTTGCACGTCATGACTAAGGAGTAATCAATGAATGAATAAATGAACCGCTTCTATAAGATGACGCAATAACAATTGAACCAATCAGATTGCAGCAGTGAGCCCGAGTTAACCTTACACGCAGCTGCCAGCCCGCTACTCTTTTCACAGAAGCGACCAACGACAGCCACGTCTCCGGCATCTTTCTGCTCTGATAGACAGGAAACCACCCTTTAGTAAGTATAACCAAACCTTTGTGTGTTTACTTCTTTAATGTAAGGTTGTAATTCTTAAGTCACGGAAAACCGCTTCGACGTGTACGAGGTGATAGTCTAAGCGGGTTGTCGCCATGGTTTCACATGGCTCGTAAAGGTGATGCAGCTGCTGTGTTTATAAACCTTTCTTACTACCTAACAGCTAAAACATTTATCGATCCAAAACCCGTACAGGAAAAAAGACAAACTTGTGTAAGTGTTCGGGCGGATTCATTCACTTCCTGTGACCACTTTTTAGTTATTCTAGTTTGAAAAATACAGTAAAAGGATGGTATAAAATCGCTAATGAATGGATTGAATAAACCACGTTTTAAGTGATGAAAGCGTGCCGAGAAACGTCATCGACTACGTCATTTAATGTTCAATTAACCGTGGTGTAAAACGCTTTTATTCCGACCACGTGGAAACCCAGGCCGAATGTCACCTGGCGCCAAACTATATTTAATGGAAGACTCATTGTAGTCGTTATTCACCACAAGTCTGAGTCATATAGAGAGGAGGGAAGAGGAGGGGAGAGTTAGTCCAGGATGTGACGACATCACACCTCTATAAGGCATGCTGATAAATTTTTACTAGAATTTCCATGATGTTAGGTCTGTTGGATAAACCTTGTCATTCAGTCAAGTGTGGCAGCTGAGGGACTTCCTGACTAGTTGATATTATTTTTAGAGATAAAGCTGGGGGATTCACCTTAGAGAAGGGTTATTAGAATAGTCTAGAACTTGCATATACAAAGGAAAACAGAAAAAGTGACTTAACATTGGATGATTAGTGCAACAATGTTAGTCTATTTCATCATTTATAAAAATGGGCGGCCTATCCGTCAGGTACTTACACCACACTTGTTCTGATAGATCGTCCTACCTCAGCCCCAGGACCAGGCGTGCAGCCAACAATGATTTGCCTCATTGTTTAGTCTTTTAGTCGTCAAAGCCTCATCAAAAATTCCCAGTGCCAAAAGGTAATGTCGTCTAGTGGTTTGTTTTGTCTTTTTAGCAGTCTGCATTGAAAGTAAAGCAGCAAATGTTTATTTTTAAGAGGCTTGAAGCAGAAAATATTTCAATACTTAATGATTATTTGCTGAATAAGTTGTTTATGAACAACTAACAAATCAATATTTTCAGCCCCAGGCCGTATTGACATAATTCAGGCATCTGTTGCAAACATAGACAAAATTAAGCCACATGTTTTGCTGTTTTTGCTCTGGTTATATATCGACATGTGCTCGCCTGCTCGGCTAGTTGCTTATATGTAATTTGCTGTTTGTCTACCTGTTGCAGTCATCATGTCTAAAGGTACAGTGGTTCTGGCATACAGCGGGGGACTTGACACATCCTGTATTCTTGTTTGGCTGAAGGAGCAGGGCTACGACGTCATCACATACTTGGTAAGTTTTAAAGAAAACAGGTGTCAAAGTTTGTGCTTCCTGCCAGCTGCTTTTGCTTTGGAGTCTCTTTTTTTGCGAGGTTTTGTGATTTGTTCTCGTTGGACAGCTGATGCAATCATACCTATCTGTGTCACAGAACCGGTTAACCACCAGGGTTCACTGATATAATGCCAACGCAAGTCTGACTGGATTTACTTTTTGCCCGGTGGCAGTTTTGAACTGCCTCGCATGCAGATTTTCTTGTTGTCCAACTTTTCATTCAGTGGTTCTGGAGGTCTGAGTGGGGGATGGGCGCCGTACTATAGGTCACTGCCGTGGCATACTAAGTGAAACCCCCTCTGAATGTTTTTGGCCTGAGCTCTCCAGGGTACAAGGACCAATAGCAAGCACATACAATTGATGATTTATTGTCTTTGATCAACACTTGTTTCAGCTGACAAAGAAATGAGGATCCATAAACTGTCAGGCATGATAATTACACTAATGAAGTTTGGATTTAGGGTGTTAACCGTTTGTATGTCCAATCAAATTAAATTATATGTTATGCAGGTGTAGTTGACAAGTCAAATTAAATAGAAAATTAAATTGTGCAGCTGCAATTTCATATTTAATCGCAGCATCAGATGGGACTATGCTTAAATAGATTGTTTTTACCATCACAAAAACTGTGAATTATAAATAATGGAAAACAGTAAAAAAAAAAAAAAAAAAAGATGCCAAAGAAACAGTATTTGTAGTGCTGATTTTTACAGATGTTTATGCAATCAGTATGGTGTCATTGTAATACAATTCCCTTGAGTTCCCTTAAGTGTTCATCCCAGGAAATAGAGAACGTCTCCTCCAGCCCTGATATTGTGCTCATGCACATTAATTATTGGGAGGAAGGATGTTCCATCCACTGGGAGGAAGGATGTTCCATCCACTCAACAGATATGATCTAATTAACTAGATGATGATTTCAGAATTAATACTTGCACAGTCACGACGCAGTTCGAGTACACAGAGCTTCGTTTTATTCCACAGGAACTGTAAACTGAAATAACTTACCTATTTAGTTTTCCCCTTGATTTTTAAACCATGATGCAGTTTGAGCAGTAAATGTTTATATTTATTGATAAACTAATGTTAACAGTGTCAGGTTAGTGTGTTTGATATTTAACTAGATGTGTTTATTTCTTAAAGGCCAACATCGGGCAAGAGGAAGACTTTGAAGCTGCTCGGAAAAAGGCAGAAAAACTTGGTGCAAAGAAGGTAAGAAACAAGGAGACGTATGATGTTGCTATAATGACAACACCAGTAACTTTTGCGTGTTCCTACACATTAATGTTTCCTGAATAATATTTCATATTGGCTGTCATTAGACAGAAGGGAGATGGCAGAAAATGAGTGTAGGAAAACATGTGAAACAAACATTTTAGATCCTCAAGTTGTTGCTTGATTTAGGGCAACACAATAGTGTAAGCGATATCGCTTAATGAGTTTGAGCTAGACAAACACATGATCTATTTGTAAGTTTCATTAACATCATCATCTTTGTTGACAGACTCAGGAGCCTATTGATTGAAAAGAGATCAAGACAAACAAAATAAAACAGATGCTCCAGATAGCAAATTCCTTTTTTTTTCTTTTTTAAAGTTATATTTTTTGGGCACCTTTTTTATTGGAAAGGACAGCTGAAGAGAGACAGGAAGTGTTGGGAGGAGAGAGTGGGAGATGACATGCAGCAAAGGGCTGAGACCGGATTTGAATCCATCGCTGCGACGAGGACTTTAGCCTCTGAACATGAGGCACACTATATAACCGCTAGAAACCCGGTGCCTCAAATTCCCTTTTTTTTTTTTTTAAGATTTATTTTCTGGCTTTTTGCCTGCATTGGATAGGAAAGTGGATAGAGTAGGAACTGCGCCCCCCACAGATAACAATTCTGATACCAACTACAGATACTATACCAGTATGATCATCTTGAAAAGAAACAGAGGCAGTTTAATACTAGCCTTATTAAAACGTGAGGAAACACATAAAGAGAATAAACACTAATTGTCTCTTTTCTTTTCCTGGTCGTTTGACAGCCAACATGCTGCTTTTACTTTTTTCCCATGAACAATGCATGAGGTTATAGATGCTTTGTCTAATGACTTTCTGCTCTGTAATCATGGTTCTGTTGACCTGTGTTTTGTAAGTTGTTTTTTTAATGTGATGTATGTCTGTAACTTTGTTCAAATGTGCTGCAAAGACAATGATTTTATTGGTGTCACACTGATCGTCCGACTGCTCATCTGAAGATCAATCTCTCTGCAGGAATATGTCAAACTCGTTTATCCTCTTCATATTTGTTTATTGTTTGACTCAACACAGCTCATTAGATTTAACTGTAGCATGTTTCAAGTCTGTGCAAAGTCATGGAATTCTTCCATTAGTGGGAATCAGTTGCTCTTCGACTCTGACTCAAAGGTTGCTGGATTCTTATCACATACTCACAGTGTCAGACGAAGCTCCTCTGTGGCAAACAATCACCAGTTATTTCCTCTCAAGGGATGGAAAATACTTCATGAATAATTCATTCAACATTTCTCACATAAAAATGACCCTGAGAAGAAAACAATCCTAGATTTAACACAAAGCCTTGTTCCTGTGCCCTGGTTTCGTGGTCTTGTGTAGGTTTACATTGAAGACCTTCGTGCAGAGTTTGTGGAAGACTTCATCTGGCCCGCGGTTCAAGCTAATGCCGTCTACGAGGACCCGATACCTGCTCGGCACTTCTGTAGCACGACCCTGCATCGCTCGCCGCCAGGTGGAAATTGCACAAAAGGAGGGTGCCAATTTTGTCTCCCATGGTGCCACGGGAAAGGTAAATAACACACAAGACAAGAGACGGGTGGGAATTACACTGCTAAAATGACCGACTCCCAGCACCTAAATTAAGTATATTTAAAGATGATTGACTTTTTCTGGTTTGTATTCGAGACGTTGTAATAAGATGCTCTGTGCCTGATCTACAAATATGCTTCAGTCTGTCTTTTTCAAACATAAACTAGTTAACAAGGCCACTGCCCAGACTCTGAACAAGAGGGTTTTAGGCCATGTGTTTTCAGGGTTTGAACATTAACTTTTTAACTGCTACTGTTTTTTGGAAAACCTGCTCTCTCTGGAGCCATGACCCCCCCACCCCCCACCCCCCTCTCATTCAGAAACTGTACTTTTCCTCTTGTCAGTCATCTAGTCTTTGACAGTGAATGAAACTGAAGCAGATGTTAGCACAGATGTGCACTTCTCTATGTCCTTAACCCGCCAGTTAAATTAAATGAGTCACTGCAGTTGAAATGAAAATGCGTGACACATAACGGTTATTAGTATGATTAAGGTCTATTTAAACTTTATGACGTGGTATGAACAAGTTTGATATATCATAAGTTATATCATAATTAACATAATATATGTTAATTGTTTGAAAAATGTGCCTGTTGATATTTTACTCACAAGTTCATTCTTGGCTGAGCTTTTGTGTTACTCAGATAATCATGGATGCTTGTTTAACTTAATTTTACTTCTTTACAGTATACACAAAATGAACTCTACACCCAATTTATTTTATTTTTTTCAGCTGCTGTTTGAATCAGAAGTAAATTGAAGCTCCTGTGAGGAGTTTTAGCAGGTTGAAAGAGAGTGAAATTAGTGTGACGACCCTGCTGGTTCCTTGTTCCTTGTTTTTGCGGTCTCAGCTGTTCTCTGTTCCAGGTGCAAGTGGGTTTGGCTGTGTGATAAATCCCGGACGAGCCCCCAATTTGTCACTGCTAGATGAAATGGTTCGAGAACACCGGGCCCATGTGTTCTCAATCCAGGATCACACACAGCTACACCCACTGGCATCTGAAACAGAGAACAGCAGAGATCGCAAAACAAGGAACAAGGAACCAGCAGGGTCGTCACATTAGTATCAATGATTCAATAAACTACAAAAGCAGACAAGACCATTAACATAAAGAGTGACTGTTTCTGTATTTTTAATGTCTGAAACTGCTGCCAGGAGTATCATGCTGCAGAAAAAGCTTATTTGTACGTTATCTATGTCAAGATTCTTGATGAGTGACATATTTGACTGTTAAAAGTGAGATGAAAAAAATGAAAAGAAAAGAAAAAAAAGAAGAGAACTGAAGTCTGTGTGCCAAAGAGCTACTGTTGGTGAAATTGAAAGTTTATTTGAATGGATATTGATTTACTAGAATTAATGTTAGTTGGCATACTGGTCCTGAAATTGAGACTTCCATGATTAACGTGCAGTGTTGATATTTTGCCTGTAGGGGGAGACATATACCACATCATAAAGTTTAAACACAGACCTGAAGAAATACTTTGTATCACATTCAGCTATGTCTTAGCATTTCTTTTAAAAATGTGTTTTTTCTTTTTATCCCAGGTAACATAATTACAATGTTTTTCACTACATTTTTTAATTATGTTTAACATTTTAAAGAAACCGCAATTAACAGGGAATTATAGGAATAGACACTCAAGCAGGAAAGGATGCTTTCTTAAACCACGGATCATTCAAGATTAAGGAAACTTCATTGAAATAAACAAATAAACTACAATGAAAATATAGCAATGACAATAAAAGTCACAGTTTCAGGCTAAAGCTAAATACAGATGTGTATTAAATCAACTCGCCTCACATGTGGTACGTAACTCAATTGTTCTGTGATGTGTTTTTCAGGGGAATGACCAGATCCGTTTTGAGCTCACATGCTACGCCCTCTACCCTGAAGTGAAGGTAAGATGGCTGTTTTGTCAGTGTGGAGGTAATGAAATGTACTGTCCGCCTCTCTAACTCGCTCTGCTTCTGTTCAGATCATCGCACCATGGAGGATCCCCGAGTTCTACAACCGCTTCAAGGGGAGGATAGACCTGATGGAATATGCAGAGGTAACTACATCCGACTGTCAAAATCACTAGATTTAAAAAAAAAAAAGTGTGACATTTGAAATTTGTCACAAATTTGAATTCATCTGAAGCATTTAGGGCAAGCTCAAAGTTGCAATGAAAAAAAGAGAAAAGACATTTGTACAAAAACATTCAGAAATATCGGTTTTGTGTATTTTAATGCACCAAATCTAATCTTATTTTTCTTTATAGCCTAGATTATTTTAACCTACTTACTGGATACTATACAAGTCATTCTGGATTTGATGTTAACATTAACTTTATGTGAGGACTCGCAATATTTATTTCTTCTTTTGCAATCCCTCACACACCTTCCAGTAAGCCCTTATTTCCCAACAACAGTTTCTGAAAACAGAATAAAATTCCCTTCATCTTGTGTAATGATTTAAATGCTTGTACTAAAGATCATTTTTACCTCCCTACCCTCCCTTCAATTTTTAGGTCAACCCTCCTTATTTTTTTGGTGACATAGACCACACACATTCAGTTGCTGTTTGTTCCAGTGGTCACATTAAACCTGACCTATACCAATTTTCACCACTAGAGGGCGGTCGTGACGTTTAATTCAAATCCACCCTTTTCACTGGCCTGTGGACTATTTTAGAAACATGCAATCTTAAAACACTGAATTGTTGACTTCTCTTTTTGAAGATACAAAAAGAAAAGAACACCTTCCTCAGTTGATTGTTTTCTTTTTTTTCCCAGCGTGGACTCTTGGAGACAAAAGCAATGTAGGGAAAGAGGTATTTTAGTTACACAGCATGTCAAAAACCAGCCGCTGGAAATAGTTTACTTGGCTTCTTGTAGTCAGAACTTTCTTCACAAAGAGAGAGATTTTAAAGTCTCTCCTTCAGGAGCAGTAAGCTTTAAGGTAAACAGTATGTAACATGTCATCTCTCTCTGTCACATTGTAGAAACATGGCATCCCTGTGCCCGTCACTCCAAAGGCACCCTGGAGCATGGACGCAAACCTCATGCATATAAGGTGTGTAGGCCTGGTGTGATGCTCCGTCTTTGGTTCCTTTTTCAATATCCCGTCTTTAAATCACAAAATACATTAACATTATCATTCATGTTTTTTTTTTTTTAAACAGCTACGAGTCTGGGATCTTGGAGAATCCTAAGGTAATACAAGTTAAACATTTTTCTCTTAGTCCTTTGCCGCCTTTGGCTTGTCACCTTTTTAAAGGGTGTGAAATGTACAGTCAAACCAATCAAGAGGGGAAACACCTTTCTATGTACATGAAACCGACACCTTCTTGATGACTAAAACCTGAACACTGTTATGAATATGAATAAGCACTTGGGGAATCCCCCTCTCTTAGAAAGTGTTACGTTAAATATAAGTTATTTCATACATTTCTAGATCTACTATCAATGTTGACTTTAATCGATCCAGATGAAAGGAATATGTTGACTTGAAGCCTTGCAGGTGAAATGTCTTTAGATTGTACTGAAACATCTGAAGAGTTTAGATCTTAAAGTGTTTTGTATTTGATGTAATCTAGCACCTAACAGAAAAATTGATGACAGTCATTTGACAAAACGTTTGTCCGCCTGCACAGAAATCGTTTTTATAATCGGTACAATTGATGATTAAATACATTCAGTTTTCTCCTTCGTCCTCCTCTCATGCACACAAAGCTGAGTGAGAAAACGCATCATATTTTCATACAGTCGAGATGTATAATCCATCTTGAATGAGCGTTAAAATAACACGGCATTCAGGCTTCTCTTCCCTCGACTGACCCATGCCAGTCCCACCAGAGTGAAACACAACTCACTCTCCCACAGTGCCATGGGTGAGAGAGTTTGATCTCTGCTGGGGTCAGAGTTTAAGGCTGTACATACAGGTTGCCCTTGGTGACCCCCAAAGCTCCCATCCTCAGTTGCTGTGTCTGTGTCTCTGTCTTTCCTCGCCCAGGGTCCTCGCTGGGCCCTGGGAAGAGCCTGGGACACACAGACACTGACTTGTCGTCAGCAACGCTTCGACTAATTCCCGATTTCATGGGAGCCAGGGAGGGGGGAAGGGTTAGGGCGTTGCGCCCAGCTGGGGCCTCCTGAGTTCCAGCCCCAACTCCTCGGGACCTCATTGTTCCACTTGTTGCGCCGCCGCAGGCTGCAACGTGGGAGGGGAGCCATTTCATCGTGACACCGTGACACCAAAATGTCACCAGTAACAGTAAAGTACAAAGACAGCGCGCCAGACAGATGAGTCTCCCAATGGACTGGGTGTCACAGGGAGGCGAGGGGTCCCCCGCTGCTGGAGTGGAGATGCAGGGGCAGGGCCACTGTAACTCACAGACCTCCATCTCTCACTCCGTCCCTTTCCCACCCCTCCGCTGGCTCTTTAGCGGTCGGCCTGTGGAGAAATGTTTTGAAAAGAATGAGACCAACCGGCTCAATAGCATAGCGATGCATGATGACAGTATTGTGTAACTGATTTCATTCAGGGGTTTTGTGTTGGACCATTTACTCCGATATTGAATCGATTAATGGCATTAAATACAATGAAATATTTATGGTGCATGGGTCCAGAATGGTAAAAGGATTTGAATACATTACCCCGGGCACAAAACTGATATCTTGAACTTTGAATAAGCTGTACTGAAGAGTAATTTTCAGTAGCCAAAGCCCATTCTGTTAATTAGGGTCAGTTGGATCGTCACAACAATAACAACATAGTAATGTTTGTTTGCAATTCCTCGCTCAAACATGAGATTACATTCCATTAAAATCAGGAAAATAATATGAATACTGTTTATTCTAAGGGCTCAGTGTGTAAAACAAAAACAAAGTCTTCACTAAATGCTCAAACATACAGGACGGATTCTCCTCAATCAGGAAGATCATCTTAAAGAGGTCACCATGGTCACCTTGTTCTTGGTATCTCCTTTCTGTATCAGCCTCTGTCTCTCCTTCAGTTACAGCCCTTAAGGCTCAAGGAGGACCTCAACTATTCAAACCCCCGACGCGCCCCCCTCCCCCCCCACCTGTGGTACAAAGGCCCCTCTCTGCTCAGACACAGTCAGATTAGGAAATGTCCAAATGGTCGCTCATATGTTCTCCTGTAGATAAGAGTCTGCAGAGTTCAGGTTACTCTATGATTAACACTGTATCCTTCCTGATAACCCTAAACCTCCCCGTCTGTAACACAATGGCGCTGTGACTCTTTTGATTTACTCACCTCCATCTGGTGAAGTTAACCTAATGTGAAGACGAGCACCCAGGGCAACTTCAGATGTCTTATTATCATGTTGAATACGGTATCCAATGAGTCAGAGCCACATTTATTTACCTCTGATTTTAGATTCTGGGTTTGTTTTACTGAAGGTACGGCGATATAAAAATAACCTATCTATCAGAGAAGGATTTAAAAGACTCTGCCAAACGTCCCTGCAGTATCGCTGCTTGTTTTTGACCACTGTGGGCAATGTTGCAAAGTGATGAGCATTTGTCAGGAACTTGATGAAACAGGTATTGAAGTCAGAGTTGGCCATAACATGATGATATTTCCATCTGATTTTTTTTTTAAGTCCGTAAATGTTGCTCCTTTAATTTTAATTGTTTTTAATCAAAATACTTACTAGTGATTAATTGTTAATTTATTCACCATGAACAGGTCAGATTTGTATCATTGTCCAGAATGTGGTTGTCATGGTATCAGAGTTTTAAACTTCGATATGATACGACAAAAAAAATCAAACTTTTTAATCGCAGGTAAATTCCTTCAATTGCATCATACACAGTGCAAACTCTTTTTCCTTCAAACATGCAGTATGAAAACCTTAGGCTAGAATGTTGACTTTACTTTCAGCAGTATGTCACTTGTTGGATGGCTCCACACACTGCAGCTTCCTCAGCATCCCCTCCCTCTGTCTCTGTCCCTCCACACATGAGCGGTCGGCACGCAGCCTGAGGCAGCCTGACACTCGTCCCCGAATCATTAAAACATCACCTCAGTCTTAATTATAGCCCCTGTCAAGTAGCTTCCTTGTGCCTGCTCCGCTCTTTGATCAGGGCGCTGACGGGCCACTGCTCGCGTTGACCAAGAGTAAAGGAGCGTAACGCCAAGCCTCTGCTCACCTAGAGGAAATGATAACCTCGTTTTTCGGGCCGGTCGCATGGCTGGCTGCAGAGATGGACTGACAGAAGGCTTGCCTGTAGGGTAGAGGAAGTGGGCTTGTAGGTGTATGTATGCATGTGAATGTGTGCTTTGAAGCAAAGAGGGTCAGTATTTGTCATGTGCCTTTCAGCCGCCCTTAGGTCTGATTGGTCTGACCTGCGACACTCAGCGAGAGCTCCCTGTGTGTATCTTCACTGTAGCTGTGGAGTGTGTTGTTACCTCCTCATTACATTCAACTGAGGTTCTAACATTAACCAAAACATCCCGGGTGTTAAGAATATAAATATCCTTCCAGCCCATCATGCATGTATTGTTTTATTTTGATCTCAATTTGCCATGTTTGCATCTTAAAAAGAAGGACAGACTTGAAACGTTGTGATTTAAGCTTCATTTCCGACCCATTGCCCCAAAGATGTTTTTACTATTCTCTTCTCTTCTGTCTCACTCTCGGCTCTCCCCCTTCCCTTCTCTTCCTTCCCCCCTTCCCCTCCCTCCCTCCCTCTCTCTCCTGCCACCTCTGCCTTCTTTGGCTTCATTGGCTTCGATTGAAAACCAATGAGGCAACTAATATGTGGAAAGATAGAAATTTACTTGCTTTAAGTTCATGCCTCAGCCTTCTTTGCTGTATGGGCCACGTTTAGCACAACAATATGGCAGAAGCAAAGGCTGCCAAAGGAGCTGCTCAGTGCTACATGATGGTGCGCTTCATGCCCCATTTCCCACCAATACCCCCCTGCACCCCCCGCCTCCTCTGCCTCTACCTTTTTCCTCTCTTTCAGGGCCATGGCTTTGGGACAGGTCCACCTGCAGGGGGTTTGAATTGAAATGCATTGATCTCGTGCTCGCTGGAAACTAGCCTATTCCCCTCCTTTCTTTTCTGTATTCGTATCCAATTGCATTTTAAGTTCACGCTCTTATTGTTGGAGTATGAGCCTTCAAAAATGACTCAGCATGAATTTGTATACATTTAAAAAAATATGTATATCAGGGTTTTCTCTGTGTATCAGTAGGATAACACTTGACTTATTACTTTTATATTCTAGGTATTAAAGCCCCTCTAAAAGAAACATTTCTATTATTTAAAAATCCTGAAGTTCATATATTTGATCAGATCAAAAGATGTCAGAAGTCATTAAGGTACTTTATTTACTGGCTTTGAGCTTCTCTGTGTGTTAGGAATGTAACACCAAAAAATACTGTCAAGGCTAACAGCTATATCACGTTTGAATTAAACAAGAAAAAACAACATTTTTTTACAACCAGCAAAACACACTACAGGAAACGTACACTTTTTTTTATTCCCTGGTATTTAAAATTCAGTACATCTTCCCCCCCCTCAAAGAGTATGCATCAAAAGGCCTTTTAGGGGAGTCATTTCACCCCTCTCCTGCTCGCTCTCATTTGGCATCTTTCAGGGCACTGAGGCAGAAAATAAAGGAGAGGAAGACGGCCGCCGTCCCAGTCAATTTTGGTGTTTAGTTAAAAGGAAGGAAAGTGATTGCGCTGCTCGTTTTCTCCTCAGTGACAGGCGACCAACAGATGCCGATTAGTTATTGTATGATGATTTAGTGTCTGGTAAAGCTTTCCATTTAAATGCACCCAGTAGTTATTTTGCATAGTCCCCCTGCAATTTGCCTCAGCTCAGGAGACATTGGCCATCGTCTTGTCCTAATGCTGTGTAATTGTTGGAGGGCCACATCGCTGGGCAGACACGTCAGACCGCCACGCTCTTTTAGGTCCCGACTATGACTTACTGAAATCGCTCCCGGCTCTCCCCAACTGGAAAAACAACTAACGTCTGTCACCCAGGACAACTTTAGTGGATTTAAGGGATGGAGTTTATGGCTTTGTTGAGTGATGCCCTTTAATCAGAGTTCTTCATTTGTGAAGAAAAGAGATGGGAAACGTCACTCAGGAAATCAAATCTGGACGATAAGAGGAAGGGCAGGATAAAGCTGCAGACACATGATTGAAGCAGCAGATCTGAAAGGCAGAATATTAAAGAGATCATACTGTTGCTGCTGTTGTAGTATGAGGCATGTTTTGACTTGTCAAGTGTTCACTATTCTTTAGGAGTCATTTCTTCCGTTTGCCCTTTCCCACTCTTCCTCTCGCCTCATCCCTTTTTTCCCACCTTCCCCTGTGGTGAAGGGCCACGCAGGGAAAATGAAACCAAATAGAGGAGCAAAATGGAACATTGATTTTTTTTTTTTTTTTTGTCTCATCCCCTGATGGTGTTTTTAGGTTTCTTCTTTTTCACGCTTCATCCTCTCTTTTCTTCTCCCCGCCTCGTCTCCAGTTGTCCGTTATCACCTTGGACAATTGTCTCTCTATTTGCAGCGCTCGTCTGTGATGAGGTCTCCGAAGGGTCCTAGTTATTCAACAAGAGGAACAGAGTGTGTGAAATAGAGACAATGAGTGTGTGTGTTTTTTTTCTGTGTGTTTTTCAGAGTCATGCTCCGACTGACCTGTACCTGATGACCAAGGACCCTCAAGATTCTCCCAACGTCCCCGATGTTCTGGAGATACAGTTCAAAAATGGTTTGTAGCTGCAGCGTGTGTCACCTGTTCATTCTTCACTTAGTCAGGGTTTAAAGAAAATAATAATTCATACAACCTTTGTAGCTTCTGAAACTGAATTTACAGTGTACAAGGAAAAACAAGCCTTGGGGTTTTATTTTTATCTTACCTATTCCTTTTTATTTTATGTAAATCTTTTTAATTTAAGTATTTTATTTTATAAGTTTAAGTGTCTTTCTCAGACAAAACATTTCATTTACAAAACGTAGCATCAAGATGGATAAATTACAAAAAAAGAGACACTAGAATTAGAGAAAAAAGAGGAAGAGGTGGTTCAGTATGTTTATATATACATGTGTGTGCACATATATATTTGTATATGTGTATATTCCTGTACACACAAATTAATACATAAGAATATTTTTTTTATAATTCTATTTTATTATATTTAATACACTGATCAGAAACAGAGACTAAAGCAGGAGATATGCAACAAAATGTCAATTATATTTTACGAGAGCTAAGAACTGATGAGTTATTTTAGCTTATAATTAAAATCATTAAAAATCACTAATTAGTTAGATATTCAATTCTATCTTTCCTTAAAATGCAAATGATACAACTGGATTTAAAGTACATGGAAAAAAATCCTTATTTTCTTCTCTACATCAAACTAAAAACACACCTGTATTTGTGAATGTGTCAGGTACTCTCTATTGAATCTAACATGATTGCATCCATATATCTTTAAATATAATCAGAATTTAAAGCAATTAATCTACAAAAAAAATCTGTGCTTTCATGTGGAATAAAATACAGATATGCAAAGGTTTGTTATCTAACAAAATAACAAAAAAAGGAAGCTAAAGGGAATAGCTTTGCTGGTTGTTTTTAATGTGCACACACTGAAAAAGAAGATTCAGTGTGTGTGCTTGCAGAATGATTTCTGTTCTGATACTGCATCAGTAAGTAATAGCGTCCGTCTTCACTCTCTCTCTCTCTCTTCATGTTACTTAACATGACGGTTATCGCTGCAGGGCTACAGCTCTCATGTTGACCCGGTTGCACTTCATCACCATTCCTGACCACCCAGACTTATCCTTAACCCTTCACAGCATTACTAGGTCCAAAGCTGCCGTGTTTAGCCCTGGGGCACGTATGCAGGCCGGAAGCATTAAGTCCAGCTAATACACCAAGCCCTGAGGGGCCAGAGAGCCGCTCATTAGATATATCGCCACAAGCTGAGTAGAGGAAAGTGTCACATGTTTGTGCAAAGAGAAAATGGCAAGAAACATCCAGGCCTGGGGCAAAAGGCACAGATGTCCCTTCATCCCTGGGTACTGGTGTGGGCTGCAGACCACTGACATCAATTGGCTGAGAGACACTAGCTCCTCTGATCATGTGGGCTCGGTGGCAGTTTTTATGAGCTCTCATAGTAATTGAGGGAAGTTCAGAAGGTTGGCAGAAGATTCAGTGGTAATTTTTTGTGACCAGTAAAGCTGCCTGAAGTGCAAATTTAAAAAAAAAAAACCCTTCAGAAGTCAAGTAGAATCTGTGCTGAAAAGTTCAGATCTCACTTTACCAGCTCCCTAAAGAAAATGTTTAACTATAAAAACAAGTAGGTTGGTGTCAGTTCAGCCGGAGATGTGAGAAGCTTTTGTGAAACAGCTTTGCACTAGTAAAGTCTGTTTTTTCGCGGGTTCTTTAGAGGCCTGCGCTCTGTTTTCACACATATTCCTTGTGCCTTTTATTGAGCGCCCTATGACAAAAGCTGTTTTAGTTGTCCACACAAAGGCCCGAGCCTACTCCTCCCTCTGAGCACAAGATCAGCACAAGAATGTTTCATTTCATTCCCCCTCCCACCTTTTCATCCCTGCCTTTCTCACCAAAGTTTTCTCACTGATTAAAAAAGAATATTTAACGACAGGAACCTTTTTTCCCCGTCAAACACTCCATTCCTCTCCTCCTTTTCTTTATTTTTTTTTATTTAAGGAATAAAAAAAAATTCTTCCCTCCCTCCTTTCATGCCAACGGAGTGGAGAGGAAAAGGAGACAGAGAGGAAAAATGTAAAGCAGTAATTTTTCCTACAACTGTGTCTGCGCTCCCATTGTCTGCACTGTTAGGCTGCGAAAAAAAGTGAAGAAAAGGATCATGGGGAGAAAAAGAGCCTTCAGTGAATGATCGAACCCGCATGATGGAGAGAGCTCGGGAAAAAAGAGAGTGCAGGCAGGAAAAGGCCAGCCCCTACACTCCCACGTTCAGACACTTAATTTATTTGAACTTTTAATCTAATTATTAGGTATCTGGGAGGGGGGGTTTACTAATTCATCATCCATACTGCCCTCTCCTGCACCGGGAGAAACTTTTTTCTTCTTCCATGGGAGCCTCTGAGATTCCCGCGATATGAGAATGGGCCGTCAACAAAGCCCTTGTCTAAAAAATTGTGCTTCACGTGTCATTCCTATCGGGGGCTTTGTGAGCGCTGGCTGAAAGGCCACTAGAAGTGCTGCTCTTCTCTTCAAAGCCGTTTGAGTGGCGGCTGCAAGCACGCCAACCTGTCCAAACTATGTACAAGTCTATGGGAGATTTTTGGATGTTATTTTTGTTTCTCTCTCTCTCTCTCTCTCTCTCTCCTTGTGCTCGCTCTTTAAATGGACGTATTGCCTTCTCAAAACACACATGGGTCATGTTTGTTTCCTCGCCTCCACCTTTGCTCCACGCTGCTCATTGAGAGTCCCTGACAGTGATTGATGTGTACTCGCTTTAAGTGGCTCTGGAGAGGAAATGTGCGGAGCTTACGTGGGTGTCATTATTTTAAAGTGTGTGTGTGTCAGAGACATATTAATTGGAGGATGGTTAATGAATCCACAAGTGGTTTTTGTCTCCCGCACATGCGCAGGAACACTCTAACTTGTTGGCGCAAAAAAAAAAAATCTCAGCACCGAAGAGAGTTTGGGTAATAAAGCTGCGTGAGTAATTGAATTAGGTAAAGGCCTGCCCACGATTTCACAGCTTTCAGACGAGCAGGGCCTTTGAATTTATTAGCCTTTCTCACCACCTCATTTTGAATTGGTTTTCACTTTAAGCTGATGACTATTCATTTCAGTGACTGACATAATGAGAGCTTGTCAGCAGATTTGACCGACTCCTTACGCATTAGGTTGGTTAGTTGGGGGGAAAAAAATCCATTTTTTTTTTTTTCCTCCTTTAATCCATTTCCCAAAACGGTCTATACTGTTTAAATGATGCTGTGCAAAGGCTCTTTTTCATTCTAGTTGTTTTCTGTGAAGTTAATGTGCACCTATATAGTGTTTTCTGGAGGTGAATGATACCGTTTAATTCCTGCAGGGGGGGGCAGGTTTGTTTTCTATAAACATGTTTTTAATTATAACCGTAAGCTTTGTTTTTAACCCTCCTACAATTCTAGGATTTGTGTTACACCTTTCGCCCTACGACCCAAAAAATGCTCCAATAAAGACTGCCATAGAAAAATTATCTATTAATGTATAATTCCAATTTTTTTTAATGGTTAGTATTATTAACTGCAGTCTTCACCATACATAGCAAATATTCATTGTGTTTCAAGCATCCAATCCACTAAAAGACACCAAACAAGAGTCAACAGCAGAATACACTTTTTGGCATTGGCAGAGAAGATTTGGCACGTTTTTCATGGGCGCAACCCACATACTCAGCTCTGCTGCTCATCCCACAAATGACACCATTTAAAAGGGAAATAAACCGGCTTTCCAACGGTATAGGATTGATTGCCAAGAAGCATTGTTACAGCAAAGAAATAATCTGCCAAACACAAATTTCCTTGCATTTTGTGTAATGTTTATAATAAATGCTACACCTTTGGCCCTGTTTCCCTAGTTTAAACAAAGACATACTAGCAGGCTTTTGTTTTGGATACTATGTCGGTAAAACAGTAAAAACTAAAATTCCAGTCCCTCACTATCATGGATCCATGAAAAATTAATAAAAAAAATAATTTCATACTGCAATGGCAGTGTACTCAAAACATGTTGTTTAAATGGGAGTTAATGGCACACAAAAAATGACGAAGGGCTAAGGGTGTGATTATTTTTTTTAACATACATAAAAAAAAATTCTTGAAATTTAAAATTCACCCCAAAATACACACCTGTGACAAAATCTGTGCAATATGCATCAACACAGCCAAAATTATCCACCAAAAACTGTCTTTAAATGTCAAAAAATGCATTAAGACTACAGGAGGGTTAAAGGCTGTTCATTTCATAACATTAAATTATCCTCAATCAGAATCACAGGACTTTAATTTGAAGGAACTGAAATAGAGAAAAAATAAATCTCAAGTAATATATGCCAACAGTCAGATTTTACTGTTAATTTTCACAACTTAAGAATTTGCCCACTATTATAGATGATCAACGCTTTAATACTCGAAGGGTTCTAACTGCAGAGGAAGCTGCGGTATACAGTTTTTCAAATCAGGGATAATTTGAAGGGAATGTACTGTAAGTAGGCATTAAATGTGTAATTCTGCTTAGTGCATAATACTAAAGTCCTTTTAGGTAAATGTGTATGTAATTAATCAGTAAATGTGCAGTATTAAATGTAACAACTACTTGATTTCTGCTCTGCTGCCAGTTAAATTTTTTATTTAGACTTTAGCTGTGTTCTGGGAATGATTTATGTATTTTATTAACATTATTTGTGAGTTCTAGATGAGTCTCAATAAAGTTATACATGTCATATAAAACAAAGAATAAGTGCACCGTAATTTGAACTCCTCATTTTTAAAATCTTAAAATCTCTCTCTCTCTCTAGGAGTGCCAGTTATGGTGAACAATTTGAAAGAAGGCCAATCCAAGTCTTCACCTCTGGAGATCTTTTCTTATCTCAATGAGATTGGGTAAGTGCATTTCTTTGAATCCTAATGTCAACCAAGCAAATATTGAACGCAGTTTTTCCTTCCTTTCTTCCTTTCTTCCTTTCTTCCTTTTTCTTTCTTTCTTTCTTCCTTCTTTCCTTCCTTTGCTTTGCTTTGTATGATTGATTAGAAATTCATTCTAAAGAAGCCTTCCAGTAAGAAATGTATTATAGTACTCTGAGGTCAAGCAGTGGTTGAGCCTACCACCTTTGGATTAGTGTGTGTGTGTGTGTCTCTGTCTCTGTCCCACCTGGGTTTTCTCTACTAGTTTTATTTTTAGCAGAAGTCTACATATGAAGATTTTCCAAAAGTTGTTTTTGGTAAAATGTCTTATTTTTTAGTTGTCGTCTTTTAAGTCATATCGCTTCTTAAAACAATGCCTCACTTCTCGTCCACACAGAATAAAGGGAATGACATTTTTCAGTGACTCATGGTGGAAGTTTTGATGAAGTGAGATGTCCTTTTCTGTAGATGAAGATGGCTTAATGTCTCCTATTGTACAGAGAACAGTTTTAGCATTCATTCATTTCAATCGTGAAGGGAAACATAATCATTTTTTAACATATATTTTATTTTATTATATTTCCAGTGAGTAAATTATATATAGTTTGTGTCCACTAAAAGTTCTCCTCTCCTTGTCTTCACGTCTGCAGTGGAAAGCATGGTGTTGGTCGGATTGACATTGTAGAGAACCGTTTCATTGGCATGAAGTCTCGAGGTAAGGAATTAAAAGATCATATTTATGTTAATCGGTCTCGCTCATGAAATCTTTCAATTTATGCCAAACTAGCAGACAGGCTTCACCTCACTTACACACACGCTGATATAGACTGTAAATGCAGTGAGACGGAAGTATTCACACTCACTGTGAAACACGTCTCAATATTTTTAATTCAACATCCATTCAGAAGCTTTCCTTTCAGTATCTAGGGCTTTCAAGCCATTGGCAGTTATTTTACATGAGTGCTTTAAGTGTCACACTTGCTTTTCGACTTTTATGAAGAAAAAGGAAGGGGGGGGGGGGGCTGGATGGCAAACACACTCGTCAAAGGAAATGTTTTTACTCTGGTTCACCTGGAATCATAGACGCTGAAGTTACTTCAATTTATTTATGCATGCACACACTTACAGAAAACACACACACAGTGACAGCGTGCATGCTTCACTGGATACACACAAATACAGACTCTTTCACATGTTCAGAGATGTTTTTGTCTTTTTCTGTTTGCTTTCAAAAGGGTACAGGAAAAGCTCTTTTGTTAGACCCCTACATGTGTTACAGCTGCTAATACACAGAGCAGTGAGCTGTTCTGTCCCTGTATGAAGCTCTCACACACACACACACACACACACACACACTCCTTTATCCCTACATCGCTATGTGCTATGATTGGCAAATTGACTGGCCAACAGGCTGTGGCTGCGGTGCAACTTGGCAGGTAGAAATTGGAAAATGGGATGCACACTTTTCTCTCCCCTCGGCTGAACAAAAGATCAAAGCTCTTTCCTCCACGGAAGCAATAGGAAGAGGTGGAGCACAAGGTGTCCAAGTGGTTGAATAACTACCACAGAGTGTACAGGTTGGTCTTCTCTGGAGTGATGGCAGTCATGTCAGCACAATAGATGATTGGTGGGATTGAATGGGGACATGTCATACCTATTTGTGTTGGGTCATTTTTATTTGTGTGGGGTCAGGGGGGCGGAGGGGATTGAAATGGTTTGTCATGAATGTTGTCACAGCGCTACAAAACATTGAACAGTGGCAGAGGAACATTTCCCATCTGTCACGACGCTGTCAGGCCTCTGACCTGAGCACCAATGATGACAATGTGCACCTATCAAAAGCAGAGGGAAAAAGGCGCTTTCTCTTGATGATGAACGGGCTGCTTTAGATCCAGTTGTTGATGTAGTGGAACAAAAATAGTTGTTAAACGCTCCAGAATAATTTGACTTTATTTACATGTTAAGTTTTATAATTTCATATTTAAATATTGGGGGGGTTACGTTACATTCTTATGGCTCAATAATAGATGAAATGATCAACCATTCAATGAGTCAATACAAGTGAAAACATCGATCTGTATTGTCTTTGTAAAGATACAGCAAACAATACATTGGCCAACCAATATTTATAAGTATACATTTCATCCAAAGCTCCTTTGAGGAACTTTTGGTTTGTGCTTTTTTTTTTTTTTAGACTTTGTGAAATCAGCAAATATGGCATCGTCATCCACAGATTTGATATAATATTGTATCAGGATTAGACGTGAGTTTTGATTTTAGCAGCTTTGTAAAAAAAAAAAACTTAATTGCAAACTCCATGCATATCCTATCTATACTAAGATCTTTTTTTTTTTTAACCAATGTTACCTGTTTATGGAGGACTAGCAGTTTGCCCAAAGGGTCAGAGGGGATCAGCTCAGGAAGAATTAATTCCTGACCTGCGACCCGTCAGGCCTGCAGCATGGGTTAGCATACCTGCAGTACCTGTATAAAAGATTAAAACCTCAGAAACCACTGGGGGTGTTGTCTCTTGAAGCTTAACTAAACTGCCACTGTCGGAGCTTACCCAGATAGCGTTTCATTGTTTGCTCCTCTCCATTAAGCTCGCTCTCTTTAGAGCACTTAAGCCAAGTTGTGTTGGAGGGCAGTTTTAACTTCTCTATCTGATAGAGCCAGCGGAAATGTCCCTACGCGCCCTCTGTGGCCTTGGATCATCAAAAAAGCCACAAGTCATGCTAGCTCTAGCTCAGGTGACAACCTTTTGAGGCTTATGACAATTAGCAGCGTTGCTAAGCTCTGCTTTTGGCTGCTAGCGCAAAGTAGGAGCTTCTCCACTTTCAGATCAAGACCAGTTTGTGCTGGTGTATTTTGGGGTTTGCACGGATTTGAACTCCGCTGCTCACCGGATTGTAAGAGATTGAAAAGAGTTTTCAAGTCAGTCGAGCACTTCATCCATTCTGAAATGTTGGATCTTGGTGTTAGCTGTAGTGAAGTATCTGTGTGGCAGCTTGGCAGCGTAAAGCGTTATGACCATCATTCAAATTGACAGATGAAGTGAGGAACCATGTATTGCTTTGGGGGGAACGGCACTTACAAAAATGGATGTCATTGATAAAGCTCCCATTTCTCTTGTCAGATCTGCCTGCTAGCGTTTTCCCCCCAGCCCTCTTTTTGTTTTAGCTGACATTTGAGTGACAGCTTCATTTCTCCTGTCATCCACCTCATCTTTTCTCTTCTCACCCCTCCCTCCCTGTCCAGAGGGGGTAAATTGCAGGGTAGGCAGAACCCTGGTCCAGGCTCCAGGTTGGCAGGGGCCTCCTACCCTGTCATTTACCCAGGACAGACTCATCCATGTTGTGTGATTGCTCCGTGGGCCTGTCTGTCAAATAGTCAATGGCTAATAGAGCTGTATAGCTTATAGTTAGTTCAGAACAGGGCTTGTATAATATTCTTGAATGATTGGCTTTTGACGATGATGATGGAGGTGTCGCTGGCTGAACCAAGAAAAAGGGGATGTTTTGGAGGAATAATGCAGAGTATTGTATTTTTGTCTTTGTTTCTTTCATTGGGGAATCAAAAAGCTTATAGAGCAGAACTTGGAGTGTAACGGATCCTAAATCACAAACTTGGGATGAGTTCATTGATTTCTGTCACATTTGACGTTTTTTACTGATCGGCCAAAAAAAACCAACATATTTATAGCAAACCTTTGTACTCGTCGGCCTGCCATGACTCAAACTACGCTCTTTCACAGCACTACAAGTCAAAATGCATCCTCATGCAACTTGGTTGTGTCTCACATCTTCAGTTTTGTTCACTTATCATGCACAGCGCTACAATTCCACTTCTCATAATACAAGCAGTTATCTACAAAAACACCTTTTTTTTTTTTTTTTTTTTTCTCGAATGAGCTTTGAAAATGTTGAACAGGTAGCTTAAGCTCACATTTCATTTATCAGATGTGTGTGTATCTGTGTACTGGCTGCTCCTGCAGTGCAGTGAGTGTGATTCAGACAAACAAGAGATTTGCATTTAGGGTGTCTTCCGTTCTTGAGTCAAACGCAGCGCTCGGTTATGTTTGTTTTGTTAACGGCTGCAGAGTACTGCTGGCTGTGAGATAACGCTGCTAACTTGAGGTTTTCGACTGTTGTCACACTCAACCAGCGGCTGATTCATGCCTGATAATTGCAGACATGGTGAGAGTGAGAGGAGAAAAGCCGTTAGATACATGGTATTCTTACACAACAACACTTAGAAACCGGTTTTCTAGAGAACGACTGAATTGTGTGTTTGTTCAGAGGATCTCCATGGCACCTCCACGCACTACTTGAACACTGCCTTCTTTTCACTAAGCACTCTGCATGCACGGGGATTCATTTGCATTAAATGTATTTTACACAACAATGATATCTTTTCCATTGATCTGCGGATCACATGTGGTTGAACCATTGGAGGTGATTCAAACGGATCACAGATCAACTTCTTTCTATTTGGATCCCAGTTGATTCACTCTGAAAGAAACATGAATATTAAAGATAAACATTGAACAGGCTGATAAAGTTGCTCACATCTCCCTGATGTCTAAATTAAAAATACATCATCCTCTATTGTATTTTGTTCAAAGACTTATATCTTCTAACTTTTATTCTTCAGGAATATATGAAACACCAGGAGGCACAATTCTGTTGGCAGCCCATTTGGACATCGAGACCTTTACCATGGACAAAGAAGTCCGTCGGATCAAACAGAGACTGGGTGTCACGTTCTCTGAGCAGGTCTACAACGGTAAGTTCCTCCCTTAAGTAATCCTAATGTGGATTCTTCACTTGTTTTGTCTGTGGTCAGATTCACTGCTGGTGTTAAATTGCATGTGAGACAGAAAATCGTCCACAAAATTAACAATATTTGATTGGTCTTTAATTCCCTCTCATAAATGTCACAATTGGCCTCTAAAAGTTCCGGTCAGTCGGGCTACAGTCAAGACAGCTAAACGTCATTCTGGTGTTTACGTAAGAGAGAAAGCGACATGCTCAGTGACGTGTACCTTTGGTGTTTCTGTGTGTTCGAGCTTTTCTTGGCTCAGGTGTCTTAATCATCCCTTCTGCTTTGGTCTCCTGTCCCCTGCACCTTCATCCTCATAATAGGATCAGTGCCATTAGAGACTCCTTCCTCTCTCTGGAGGGTATAATTGAAGTGGCCTAGTACTCACACACAAACACACACAGAGAAACACACACACACACAAAGGTGCTACCTTCAGAGGCAGGGCAGAGATTAAACCCATTGTGGGTTTAAATCATTAATAGCTCTGCATATAGATGGCAGACGGCTGGCAGTGGGGCTTATGTTAACAATCCACCTGTCCTGCATCTGTTTTGAATGAATACGTCACCATTTCATTAAAAAAACAACATTTTCAGGAGGTTGTGCACTGATTAAGGGTAGTGCAGTGGTCTATGTGACATGTCTGCTTTGTGCTTGCTTTATCAAATGGTATTAGTATTGTACATTTTGCCATTTCTAAACATCAACCCCCTATAAAACACGTTTTAATTACTGAAAAATGATGAATCAGTTATAATGAAATCTCCAGATAAGCAAAGACTGAATAAAATCTACCACCATAAAGTGCAGCCCGTAGCTGTAGTTGTCCTGCCGACCACATTGTGTCTATTCAGAAGCGGGGAGCGATTGTGTCTTTGAACATGGCCCCGTTGTTGAGGTGGAGGTCAGCTGCTGATGAGAGAAGGACCCCTGCTGAGTGGGGCGTTCCTGACCTCTTAACATACACAGACACATCCCTCGCCCATCTGTCTCCAAAACTGATGGGCCAGGGCAGCCGAGCGAGACAAAAGAAAGAGGTGTGTGAACTTCACCTGGAGCAGAAATAAGACCAGAGCACAGATACAGATTTTAAGCTCGGGGAAAAAACTGAACGGATCACACACACGCACACACACCCCTGTGGAATCAGCTACACATGGAGGATTTGCAGAATAAGGTTCCCTTTCTTTACCTTGCCATTCTGTTTGTTTTTGTCACGGACTGTCTAATTACACTTATATAATATGTAGATAAATGTCTATCCAAATGAAAACAGTCAACAACACACGGGACATTTTATTTAACAAATAGGTAAGTTACGATGATATGATCAGATTGTGCATTTGAGCCCTGTGTCCACCAGAATTTTTGTATTTCATTTTTTAAAATCTGTGGCCTTCCCTTTTTTAAAATTATTTTGCAATGGGGATGCATGCAGTGGGGATGCAGTGTTTCTACACTCTTCTAAAAGCTCTCCAACATGTTTGGTAGGGTGGTCACAGTACCAGAATTTTTTAGCATCAGTGCCATACTAGATCATACTTTAAATCAAACCATATTGATACCTTTTTCGATACCACAGAAACACAAATAAAGGTCCTACGCGCCCAATATTGGATAGTATTTTGTTTTATTTCCAAAACATGCAGAAAAATCTCCTGCAGTGCACACTGTCAAAATTGTAACAGTACATTGTCAACGTTTTGGTAAAAATGTCTAATTTGAGTTCAATAATGTGCTTGTCAATGTCACTTTTCATAAAGGTTTTAAATTACAGGGTGGGGCTTAACAACAACAAAAAGAAAACATGAACACCTTAGCCTTCCCTTAATCATGTGACTCGGAAAGAACAAGTTTGTTCACTCTCCTTGTTCCGACATTTGAACTTCTGCAGAGAAGTGTCGACTTTTTCAGCTGGGAAAAATGCTTATATGGAAGGGGTTTTGTCTGTGGACTTTAAAGCATACATTTTGTATTCATATGTTCATGTTTCTTGCCTCAGGTTTCTGGTACAGTCCAGAGTGTGAATTTGTTCGACACTGCATTGCCAAGTCCCAGGTGAACGTGGAGGGCAAAGTACAGCTGTCCGTCTTCAAAGGTCACATCTACATCCTGGGACGAGAGTCACCCAAGTCCCTCTATAATGAAGAGTTGGTCAGGTAAGCAAGGACTGGAGAAAAAGAGTGTGTGTGTGAGTGTGTGCTTGGGATACATAAGAAGCCATGTGTCAGTGAATCACTGTGCTTGTTCTGACCGGACAGCTGTGTTTGGCTGCTCTGGGCGCAGTGCAGCGATTCCACATGTGTTCAGCAGCCAGCCTGTTGTCAGATCGGCCTGCCCGAGTTCTCTTATGACCTCCACATCAACACACTGCACCGACCCTGCCTCACAAAGACATCAGAGAAGTTTCCAAATCAGTTCCTGGAGGGCAGACCCCGACCCCAACCCTCCCACTGCACCCCCATGGCCCTCTTAGCCCTGCTAACAGTGGGTTTGTTCAGGGGGCTGACCCCTGATGCCCCGTGGGCAGGCTCAGCACTGACCAAAGTAAAAACCCCTCCATATGCCCCTCCATCTCCTCCTCAGTCACACACACTCCAGTTGTACCCTAAAGTCAGCGAGCTAATGGGGTTTTCAGCCAGAGGAAAGAGGTGATTTCACTGGGCTTTTAAAAGGAAAGTACGTGGGTGTCATGCTAGTTTAGCAGGTCAGAGCGAGGGACAAAAGGAAAGATTTCTCACACAGTCAGCCTCTCAGATTCTTGAACCGGAGCACAGAACACACACAGAAAAGAAATCTAACACTGATGGCGTTTTTATTTTTTCATTTTATGAATGAAAGTTATCAAGACAGAGATAAATAGATATTTACAGAGCACAGATTGTGCATTCATTCAACCCTTTCGACCCCGTATTATATTAGCATGTCACTTTACCCCAGCGTTCTGTTTTCCAGTCAAACATTTCAGAAATAACTGCTGAGTCACTATGAAGATAAAGTGCGACTCACTTGACCTCTCAACTTGTGTTGCTAAGAAACTCTCACTATTAAAAGGCCCGTGTTCTGAGTACAACACCTGACCTTGTACAGACACATTTCTTGGACACATGTGTGTGTGACAGAGGTGTTGTGTTGCAGCCTCACAAAGACCTCCAGGCCTCTGACAGATGGGCGCAGTGACTCCTCACAAGGGAGCCCATCACAAGAAGTCCAGTCCGAAAACCATTATAGATCAGTTTGAAGACGTCCATTTATTGCACAATTGAAAACCTGCCAATGAGGGATCAGTTATGTGTGGCTGACACGTTGTTGTTTACTTGTTGTTTTTGAAGCAGAATATGAGTTAACTTGCATCGCTATACATACAAACGTAAAGGCTGCAGGTTATGATTTCTTTCTACTTTTATTAACTATTTGTAAATTATTCATTTTAACACTAAGAAAGCAGAAAATCATTTTTTAAAAGCTGATCATATTTTAGATTTAAAACATGAAATATTCCTCTAGCTTCTCAGCTGTATCATCAATAGGATTCTCACGATGGGAAAATTCTAAACTTCGATATGATTTAAAAAAAAAACGAATATTATTGCTACCTATTGTGATACCATGGCAACAAAAATGTACGCCTTAGACACCCAGTATTGGATTATTCCTTGTTTGCTTTTTTTGACAAAGACATTGGCGTACATAAGTTTGAGTACCAAAACTTTAATGCCCAAAGGGTCTTGGAAAATTATCTGGGGAACCATGATGAAGGTCGACGACCTGGATAAGGAAGTTATCGTGAATACAACTCTTAAAGTGTCACTCGCATGTTCTGTTCCTCACAGGTATACTCATGGGAGCATCAGTGTCCCTCTCTCGCACACTTCTTTGTGACTACTTGATGACCTGTCACAATCACACACACACACACACACACACACACACACACACACACACACACACACAGACAGACACACACAGAGCAGATTAGGCATGAAACCTCTGCTGACATCCTGTTGGCTCTCCACAGGCAACAGTAAACGGCGTCATTAACACAGTGGTAACACAGCCCGTCACCGCACCCATCTGAGACAGAAATGTCACCCTCCTCGCCGTCCGCTGGCTCCGCTCTCAATTAGACTGCAGGGTTTCTTGAAGGAATACACAAAATATCACATGCTTACACACACACACACACACACACACACATATTCTTTGTGGCCACTCGCCCATTATGGTGTTCAGGTGCCGGGTAGGGAGCCTTGTATTGAGAGTTGATGATTTAGTTGTTGGCCTTTCTTTTTATAGTGTTTATCCTATCATTTGTTGGCAATTTCCTCTTTTGCTAAGTGCTTCTGAAGAATGAGTGCAATCCGTACGGTGTGCGTTGGGAGTGTCGTAGCGACGAGAGGACTGTGTGAGGGAGTGTATTAAGCACTGCAGGTAGAAACTGCTGTAATTACACAGCACACGGACACTCTTTGTGAGACACACTAAGAACAGAAGACTCGACAACATGCAGCCTAAAAGAAACAAGACGCGGCATAAGTTTTAGATTAACTTCTTTTGAAGAACAAACTCGGAAACAGAAACATTAGACAACAAAATCATATCGACACTTAGCTCGGAGTTGATATGATGGGATTGTTTTAAAATGGGTTATGTGCCTCTTTAGTGGGCTTGTCAACATGGGTGTGTTTTCCTTCTCTGGTATTGATTCTCTGTTATTCAGGACAAACAATGCTAAAGAGGAGCATTCGGAGGAAAATCGATGGGAACAATATTTCAAAAGAGCACATTGTCAATGATCCAGTTATCCCAGTAGTTGACGAGGCTTCATGTCTCTTATGTTGTTGCAACAATACCAAACATTTCAATCATTCTGTAACTAGTAAACCCTCCATTTTTATTATTTTCTTTCCTTGAGTACTTTGTTTCTCTTTGGCCATTTTCTTTTCTTTTTTTTACCGAACTTAAAATGTGAGAATCAGTCTCACCTGCCTGTTTTTTGTTTTTTTTTCACTCCAGCATGGACGTGCAGGGAGACTACAACCCGTGTGATGCCTCTGGATTCATCAAGATTAACGCTGTCAGGTTAGCATCCTTTGAACCCTTAAGAATTCTTCCATACATCTGTACAAAACTGTTATAAATCCGCCCTCATCCATTCACTCTAAAATCTTATCGGTATACCTTCTTATTCTCCACAACAGGTTAAGGGAACACCACCGTCTGCAGGGTTACGCTAACTGCAACGGCAAGCAGTAACAGCAAGCAGTAACAGCAAGCAGTAACAGCTGCAGTCATCGGAAACATCTTTCTTCTTTCCACCATTCCTGGGGCGGTAGTAGGTTTAGACTTTGTGCTTCTGTTGTCTACATTTTGCCTTGCTGGTACTGTTATTTATTAGCATAAGGGTATTGAACACACTACTAGCCACATGTTGCTATTACTGTATAACTGGGATCTTCATAGCTAGTGAAGAGCGGAGGAAGAAGTAAGATGTAAAAATAAGTGTCATGACAGGAGAATAGTTTGGGTGTAAATGTGTTCAATTAATAGCTTGTGGTTGAGCATATTAGTAGAAAGTATTTCTTAGTATTTTATTTCATGACAGCATCAATAGGTGTCATGGATATTAAAACTCAAACATTGTTAAAGAAATAAAATTGTGTTTTTTTCTTCCCTAGTTCTTTGTTGAATTGATTACAGTGCATTATGGGTATTTATACAGGTTTCCAAGCAAACACCGAGGCGCTGTCACTTTGAATGTGTGAGTGATTAATAGGTTGTTTCTTTGGCAGACAGCCTTCTTATTAATGCCTGCCTGTTTAACTCTCGGGGCCGTACAGTCACTGCCCCGTGAGAACAAAACGGATCATATTTACAATATGCAGATGAAGCAGAGCAATGTGTAAGGCACCAGGGGTAGTCAAACGTGGTGGCTCGCTGATCATCGCTGGAGCAGAAATGATGGGGCCATTTCTGAGCTCAAATGGCACAATGTCAAATGGAAGGAAAACCAATTGGCCACATATGTATATTTCCCCGCTCTGCATGGGGTCTCCAGGTTCAGAGAACAGAAGGAAGGGGGTAGAAACAAAGACAAGACAAAGCAACAGTAATGTCACAATCATATCTTTATATACCTAACATGTTTCCATTCGTCAATGTCAAATATTTTCTTTGAATTAAAAACAATCAATATGAAAAAATATCAACCGGGAGAATGCAATTTAGATTGTTGTGGAAAGCAAGCAAGGAAAGCAGTAAACCTTGCACTTAAATATCACAGGTGACATGCAGCAAAGGTCGGATTTAAACCCACGGTCGCTGTGACGACAACTGTAGCTACTGTACAGGGGATGTGCGAAATAACCACGAGGCTACCGGCACCCTTCTGGAATTGTTTAATCTCAACAATTTGTGAATACTTAGGTTTTTTTTTTTTTTAATTCTTCAAGAAAATCTAACCTCTTACACAGTTATGAAGTTATTTTTTTCAGTCCAATGCATCCCCAACATCAGTTCCAAAGAGAATGAGTATGTGTTCAATGTTGATGTAATAATAATAATAGAATTATCTTCACTGTCCTCTGTACACTTGAATATTCTCCATACGTGCTCAACACTTGAGTCTATAGGACACAGCAGCTGCTTCTGTGGGTACCACTCCCTCCTGAAGGCTGTCAGTCCTGCATTGTGGCACTGGGTACGGTGTGGGCTTCAAGGTGGAGTCCACAGGCACAGGAGACCCCCTGCCAGGTCTAATGGGCAGTGACGGATCCTCGGACCCTTTCAGTCCTTAAAGAGCACCGCAGCCCCCCCCCCCCCTCCCCTTGTTCAATTACACGGCAGGCGTCTCAGTCTTTGCCTGGTCAATTACCAGCCAGGCCCTGCATTTACTGTCGTGCACACACAGGTTGTAAGATAATCAGCGTCCAAAATTGCTCGGTTAGAATGAAGGGATGGATGGAGAGGTATTGAGATTAGTCAGTCAAGCTGAAGGGGAGGTAGGAGGGACCGGGACAGCTATCAATCTCAATCTGGTTTCAGTGGTTGGAGGGGGAGGATCGTGGTGACCTTTCGTTTTTTTCTTTGAAAGATATGATCCTGGGAATTTTTTATTGATGCAATACCTGTTGTATACAAGATGTTTGTTTTAGGAATAGAAAGGTGTATGTGAAGTTCTCTCTGCCTTACTTTTTAAACACAGACTCCAATAATAAAACATGGCTCTGCATGTACTCTCCTTACCCACTAGTCTCATATTCCACCCCCACCCCCTTCCTACCTGTCTCCCCAGCCAGCCAGGTATGAAAACTGGCTGACACCTGACCAAGGGAATTAATCATCCTTGACCCTGGACCAATTACCCCTCATTACCCACTCTGTGTCCACCTCTCAGGGGAGAGCCGTGTAACAATAGCATGACATGAAAGTCGGCGGCGTCACAGGGCCGAGGCCTAATGGACGCTGCTGTGCGACTGTGTCTCCTCAGGAGTCCAGGTCGACTCACCTTCAAGTCCTTGTCACTCTCCCGACAGCACATGTACAAAGGGGGCTATTGTTGGTGATCAGAGTCCATGACCTCTTGAGATGAAGTGCAGAAGGCCACTGGCGGTAAACAGGAACACAGTCTGGATTATAGAGGAGCCAAGAAAATGAAGACACACCTGGTTTAAAAGTTTTTTCTTATAAGGGATCCTTTTGGGAATGGTTTTATACTGAAACATATTCAGGTGTGCTGATAAATTATTGAGACTTAGAACAAATTTAGTTTTGTCAAAGTAAATAAATGTTGCAAGTGAACAGCGTGATGAAGTCATCATTTACAACTCAAACTCCGTATTAGAAGGTAACACATTAGTTAGTTCAACACTTTAGTTCAAAGCGTAATATCTCAACAACTGCTGCATGGATTGCTATGAAATGTGGTACAGCCGTTCAGTGTCTCAAGAAGATCATTCATTTACCTTGTTGAATTGCTGACTTGCAAATCTGTCGTTCAAAGAAGAAAAAAAGTATCAACTTTTGAGACCATTTCTAATGCTGCAGGTCTTCGTGATCTGAAGAACAATTCTTTTGACTTTTGTTTGAGACAAAACTTTCAAATTTCTTATCACAGTTCAAACTTAAAAATCAGCCATCAGTACTCTCAGGTTTTTTTTTTATTCTGCATCGCTGATTTCTACTTATGGGGACAAAATGAAACAATTAAGACAACAAACCACATCAGAATGTCTTTTTTTTTTTTACAAGTCAGGATAATCATTCAGCTTTAATTGGTCAGGTATGCGTACTCATACAAGGAATTTTACTTCGATAGCTTGTGCTCTTTATGTACAAAAGTATATGTTAAATATTATACAATGAAAAAAACAATAAAAACTTAACATGGGCAAGCCTGCATGAGACAGCAGTGAGTAGTGCAAACGATGCTGAAATAACCTGTGGGCATATAATCATGTACCTGTCTGGAAAGGGCAACTGTGTTCACTGACCTCTCCTCTTAAAACACAATAAGACAGGAACAATGACCGGTGAGTGGGGGGGGGGGTAATTATAACCAATTAGAGGCAGATGTGGCTCTCTAAGGTTTGTGTAACCCAAACCAAGTAAGGTTGTATCAAGGCTCTATTGTTATGTCAACCATCCTATCTCTGATCATTAGCCATAGATTCCCACATTTAAAACAACCTGTGCATTGATTTATAGTTTATTTTTAACATCCTCCAGTTAAAGCTCCTGTGTGCAGTTTTTATCTTGTTATGAAACCCATTGATATTAATATCGATGCCTCTGTATGATCTACAGAAACTAACAATATCATACTCGACAAGATTTACTTTTTCTATATAGTTATTTTAGGCGCCTGAAACCTCTGCCAGGGGTAGGTGTCAGATTAAAAGCATGCTGCAGAAACAGCATTTTACTACATTTAACTTCTAAAATAAAGCAAAGCACTGAGGTAAGAGGTTCTGCTTCGTCAACAGGGGGCGCCAAGATTGACACAAACCAAGATGTTCCTCACAGGAGCTTTAAGCTTCTTCTTAACCAGACAATTAGACCCTAAACCTCTTAAGTAACTCGGATTACTCCTTCATGATGAGCTTTCCTTTTTCCTGCTATCACCACTATTACCTCCTATTTTATCTGTGGACATGAGACTGCCACTCGTTGAAATCTCAATAAACAGTTGCTTTTTGTTTCATTTCACTTACTGTTACTTTACTTAGCAGGTAAGGGGTTAATGGACAGGTCTCCTGGGGTTTGTGTGGAACGCTAATGGGCCAGTCAAAAATGATGAGGTCACTCACTCCACTGCTGAGAAACATTTGGGGATGTACAGGCCAGCATATCATGCCAATGCTGCTGCTTAACATCAATATATTATTTATGTTGATATCTTTAATATTCCTGGGGAGCATTACAAGGACTCAGATAAATACTGATGCTCACAGGGTAAAATTCTCATTTTCTCTTTGGATGTATTTCACCAAATTGGATTTCTGAAAGTGACCCTGTATAATTCTAGGTAATTAAGGACAGAAAACTATATCAGCAGTATAATCCCTAGTGGTTTTTAGTTTAATTCGTCAACAAATAAAGTGACTCAAATCAATTATTGGCAACAAATATTCTCCAGCAGATCAGATTTTTAATAAGGCCAGACATCTCTGCATCTCAGCTTCTGAAACATGATCTCCAGACGCAACATCAAGAGACCATCTGTGAGGAACCATTAAAATAAGGCAGGATACACTTTGCCTTCCAGGCTAGCTAACATCCATGGATCCTGTGAGTGGGTGCAGTGTTTTTCCTTGATGTAGAAGCCTATTTTCTGGTGTCAAAGGACACCCATACTGATGTCCTTAAGATCCATAGACAGATGGGGCCATTACTGACAAAGCCCTGGCTTTGTTTGGCCTGAGCTGGTGATGAAATATTGATGGAAAAATACAAATATTTTGCCTGCTGCTCGATGTTGCCCATCTAAAAGGGTTAATGAGTATGATGACTTCGCTGTCTCCTGTTTCAACAAAATGTAGATCAACTACCCACCAACATCGACTGGACCAGAGTCTGCATGCTCTATGGGGCCACGAGGAATCAATAACTTTTTCAATGCAGGATTAAGTGACCATGTTATAATTGCCCTTGTAGCTGAATTTGTACCTTCGGTAAGTGGTAGGTTGTTAACTTTGACATTTTCAAAACACCAAAAGGAAACTCTTGAGAGACGAGTGTACCATTTTGGAAAATATATTTCCGTTTTCCGTTAACTTCTACCAGGATATTGACACCACTCTTGTCTCTGTGTGGCAATTTACTTTAAGTTAAGTTACTTCTAGATGCCTGTTAGCTTAGCGAAGCACACTTATTAAAACTGTGGCTAACTTGCTTTTGCTATAGGTAACAAAATCCCATCCAAAGCTTGCAAATGAACATGGCCTTGCCTGTTTATCGTATTAGTTAAAAACTTTTTTTTTTTTTTTTCTGTTTAAAGTTGTGGTTTCATGGAAGGTTAGACTATTTCTTGGCCAAAAAGTGAATTCCTGGAGTCTCGTTGTGACGTCAAGGTTGCCAGAAAACCTGAACTAACTCTTTTAAACAGACGAGCATCGACATTAGTTAATGACCTCGTTCATTTTAAATGCTAAGAGCTCACAATGACAAAGCTATAAA